AGTTGTGTCGTAAGATCTGCCTCGGATAGCACTCACACAGTCATTCTCAAAACTGTTTAAGGACCTGGGCCTCCACCCACGGGCTGTTAGTACGTCATTTGGCTGCAGAGTGAACCTGGCAATTTGCTTGCAGGTGAGTTTTGTCTGTATCAGTAAATGCAGAAGTCAAAAGCGTACCTTTAAGTGACAGGTGTGCAGCAGCACCGACATGTAGCATACCAATATTTTCCTTGGCTGATGCTAGCTACCTTTAGAGTGTCATTTAATCAAATGCGTGTGGCCAGTGCACACTTATTTCTTTGTACCTATAGGCTGCATTTGTATCCATTGTGGATAACTACTAGCCTATTGCCCCTTCTGTTCTGTAACATTTTAACTTTTGTCACGGGAGTAGCAGTGTGTCTAGACCTCTGGTATTAGATTTCTTAAAGGTTAGATACTAGACAAATGTTTCACTGTAAAAATATCCTGTCTCTGGAGTATGGAGTCTCCTGTAGGTAGACAGTAATTTCTGTAGGAAGAATTTCACTACATTAAGTAGGTTTGGGAGCAGGCTGCTGTCATGGCAACATAGAACATAGCTGCCTTTCTGCCAAATAAGTGTGTTTTCACAAGACAGCTCTAGATTAACATGGTTACATTTTTCCCCTTAGTTTATTTCTTTTTTTAAAAAAATAATTATTTATGTATTTAATTTCATTTGTTATTACTATTTTTTAATTTGACCAAACGGAGTCAGAGAGAGAAAAGGAAAGTAAGAAAGCAAGCTACCAGGTCCAGGACTCAAAGTGTGGTCGGTCAAGTGGGAATATAGTGCCCTTAACCACCACACCACCTGCTGGACCCCTCCTTAGTCCATTTTTCACCACTTTCACTGTATCTTTTGTTTTGGAAACTTTTAACATAAATACACCAATCCATAGTGATCATGATGCCAGATGAGGACTGTCAAGGAAAAGGGGAAAGCATACAGCAGTGCCCTTCCCAAAATTTCCCATACATACCCAGCATCTCGGCCAGCCAGGGCCACAGGGTTTGTTCCTTGAACACACCTAAGACATGCACTCGACTCATAGCAGGGGCTGGTGAGATGAAGGGTAGCATGCATCGCTCCACTTCCTGGTGCGCCCCACTGTCCCTTTCATTTATGATCCCAAAGGTCATGTCCTGAGGTGACTGGTGTGGATGAGCCTCAGAAAGCACTTGGTCCACTGCTTTCTTGCCCATTTGAAGTGCTCAGTCTTAGGCACTGTAGCAGAGGAAGGAACCTGTCCTCTTCGCATGTCCTGAGTCCAAGGAGATCACTTTAGAAAAATAGCTACTGAAAATGTTTTCTAACTTTCATTTTGGGTGTTCCTTGCTTCCACTTCCTTCTGTTTGAATTAGTTATATTTTTAAAAAAGTATAGAGGCTGTCAGGTGGCATGATGGTTAAGGTGCTAGACTCCCACATGATCATCCATGGTTCAAGTCCTGGACCTGGTAGCTTGCTTCTTCACTTTCTCTCTCTTTGGCCAAAATAATAATAATAATAATAATAATAATAATAATAAAGAATTGTTTTTTAAAAGAAGTGTAAATGATCAAATTCTTTTCATGAGTCAATTAAACCTTGTCCTAGGATTGAAATTTATTTCCTTCTCTAAGAGGTAGTCTAAAGAATTGAATTTATCTCACCCAGACGAGTTCTCCAGGAATTAAAGCTTGCTTTCTCTGTTCACCTTATGCTCCTCATAAACGTTTCTAGCCATCTGTTCCAGTAGGAGAAATGGTGAAGGCAGACCCCCACTTCTTACTTACTCAGCACTGGCGCCATGTCACACTTCACTTCCCTTGTTTTGAAAGTGGTGGGGACTCCCCAGTCAAGAGCAAATCAGTAATTCATATGAAAAGCAGGTGACTGGTCACAGATATTTCTGGGTTTTGTTTTTCTCCCCAAAAGTTGGGAGAAAGGAAAAAGATTGGAGAATGGGTTCCCTATTAGCTTACTGACATTTAGCACTTGTTGGCTCCGGAAGGAGACAGAGTTCTACACTTCATGGTATAAAATTTAAAAATTGGAGGTGGAAAGAATAGAATACATGCATTTCTTTACTTTTTCGTGTATAGCCATCTACCTGGTTTCAAAATATTTAAGATTTATGAGGAAGGAGCATAGTAAGTAGGAGGAGATAAAATACATTAATAAGAAATTTAAAGAAAAGGAGATGAAAGAAAAATATGGTTAAGGAAGTGATGCAGGGTCCAAAATGAAGTTGGTGTGCGAATCTTTGCCATGAGCACCTGGGCCACAGGCTCCCTCATTACGGTGCCTCAGCTCCTGGGTCAGAGCCTGGCACCTGGTGGGTGCTTACTAAGTATGCGTTATAAAGATGTTAAGGAAGTGAGGCTTTATATTCTCCACAGGAAATAGCAGTGTGAGTTTTTTATTTTGTAGAAAATAACTCCATCAATATAGCTATTAATTCAGCAGTTAATTCTAGTTATCTTGGGTCTTGGCGCTATTTTGCAGTGTTGGCAGCATCTTTAAACATTTTTGCACATTTTCAGGATTTTATTCCTATGTATTTGCTTCTCAATTCATTTTAAGCCAGCTTCTCCTTTTCTGAATGGTTACTAGAAATTACTTAGAGAGGGGAGCAGCAGAGGGTGTAATGGCTACGTCTCTGGACTCCCACATAGTCAACTGAGGTTTGTGTCCAAGACCCAACGGTTTAAAATTTATGCCGGGAGCGTGTGCATGCCCAAGATCCCGAGAAGAGAAAGGAGAAGGGTTGTTGTTGGTGCTCTGGTCCTGTCACCATCCAGCCCCAGCCTCTCTCTTCCCTTTGTGTAGTTGATACTAAATTCCTTTCTCTATCACGTGTCTTCAAGTTCTGCTCCCTGCCCCTTGGCTCACGCTGTCCTGCCGGGAGTGTGTGCCCCACTGGCTTCACGTGGCAAATCAGTTTCTCCCTCCAGGCACCGCTGCGAAGTCTTTTCTAATTCCTCTGGGTCCGAGTACTTTCCTCCCCCTGAATTCCCATGGCTCTTCACCCCTGCACCAACTTCACATTTTCTACTGTGTTCCATGACCCCTTTTACCAAAGGATCTCCCTTGTGCCAACACAATGTGTCTTGTTCTCACCCAGTCCCTTCTCAATGTTGGATGTATTTCATGAAAGTACTGAAGTAGATTCCTTTAACTTCTTTCCCATACGTTTACACATGACACACATTAGAGAAGTTAAACATATACCTTTTTTTTCTTGGAGAGGTTTTCGCTATAGGGCGTGTGCGCTCGCCAGACAGAGAGAGACATAAAGACAGAAAGCAAGAAATCACCTCCCAAGGGGGGATGGCCACACCGCAATCCCTTCTCCTCCATTCTCCTCCTGGGATCTTGGGCACGCACGCACATGCACCCGGCCTGAGTTTTAAGCCACCGTGTCCAGGACGCGAACTGCGGTCGACTACGTGGGAGTCCAGCGACACAGCCATTACGCTAACTGCTAGTTCCAGAGAAGTTAGACATATACTTTTTAAATTAGAGTCTAGTCTCCTAAAAGTACATTCAGGAACCACTGAATTTCTGTGAAATGAACCCACGCTGTGAAACTGCACCCAACAGAAGCCCTCGTCATTGCTGGTGACTTCCCTCCAGGTGAAAATCACAGGTTGCTGCTCTTTGAGATTCCGTATTTCAACACAAACAGGAAGTCCAGGACCGCCACCTTCAGAAAAAAGACATTGACACTTAAAACCCCAAGACACAGGGAGCCAGCAGGTGGCATGGTGGTTAAGGCACTGGACTCCCACGTGGCTGACCATGGTTCAAACTCCGGACCTGGCAACTTGAAAATCATGCTGGACGCGTGTGCATACATGCCCCAAATCCCAAGAGAATGGAGGAGTAGGGGCTGCAGAGTGGCTATGCCCCCTGGGATGACCTCTCCCTTTCTCTTTCTTTGTTTCTCTCCAGCAAGTACATGCACCCTGTGGGGAAAAAAAAAATTAAAACAACAATAACAAAAAAGTACCATACATTCTTTTCTTTCAGTCTGTCTGTCTTGGCCATAGTGTGTATGCACTCACAGGAAAGAGACAGAAAAGGACAGAGAAAGGGAAAGGGAGAGATCACTATGACTCCTGGGGACTGGGGAAGGGGATGGCCATGCCACTACCCTTCTCTTCCATTCTCCCAAGATTTCCAGCATACACACACACACCTGATGTGGTTTTCAAGCCATGGGTCCAGAGCTTGAACTATGGTCAGCCAAGTGGGAGTCCAATACCTTAACCACCACTCTATCTGCTGGCCCCCACCATACATTCTTTAAGAAATGCTTTGGACTCCTGTCTTCAGTTAGCATCAAGTTACCTTTCCACTCTTATTAAGGGTAAAGTTTGGTCATTTCATTTTTAAGGCACAAGATATTAAGGCTCAAAGAAGTTCAATGAGCTTTACTAACTGACAGAGCTAGGAAATAAAATAGAAATGTAGATGTTGGAGTCTTTGTTATTCTTCGGAATGACGTTTCTCAGAAACTTTAGCTATAAAAAGTGACTTGAAAATAATTTCATTCTGGGGAACCAGCAGTTAGCGTAATGGCTATGTCGCTGGATTCCCACATAGTTGACCGCGGTTCGCGTCCCGGACCCGGTGGCTTAAAACTCACGCCGGGCACGTGTGCGTGCGCGCCCAAGATCCCAAGAGGAGAATGGAGGAGAAGGGATTGAGGCGTGACCATCCCCCCCGGGGGGTGATTTCTCGCTTTCTGTCTCTATGTCTCTGTCTGGCGAGCGCACGCGCCCTATAGTGAAAATCTCTCCAAAAAAAATAATAATAATAATAATAATTTCATTCTGTTAAATTTATGATAAAAATGGACATTAGAAAGATCAATTTATGATTTCTGTCTTTAATTCAATTTAACATAAATTTCTCTTAGTACTAGTAACAAGTGTCATTTGTTTATTAACCTTTATTGGAAAAGATATTCCCCCGGGTCACAATTACTCTTCAGAAACATAAGCTGGAAGGTCTTTGATAACATTAGATTAGAAAATGTAGTTCACTGTAACAGAAAAAATAGCATCTTCCTTCCAGCAGAAGAATGGAAGAAATAATGAGGTCTTCTATTTTCTAAAAGAG